TTGCTTCAAGGTCCTGATCATCTGTGTGCCTCTGCTCTTTTCTTTCACACATGGCAGCAGCTAGAAAGGAGCTGGGTGGTTTAGACTAGATAGGAATTGCTGGGCTAGGGGTACAGTTTGGTGGTCAAGTGGGCGTTTAGCATATGCAAGCCTCACTTTGAATGCCCAGCACCCAAGGGGAAGAGACAGAGATGGCTGAGTTTGGGTCTGCCGTTTCTATGCTTTAGACAAAATATGGCCCCTTTCTCTGTCCTCCCAAGATTCCAAAGGCAGCTCCTAGGAAAGACCCATTTAGAAAGCAGAATTTACAAATTGCCTCTGCTCAGTTGCTGTAAGGTCCTGGGGTGCCTGGCACTCGGCCCTCTGAGGAGTTAGATATGGCCAACTTTACCTTCTTTCTGTTTGATTTTCTCCTGCTTTCTCATACTTGGCAGGTTTTGTTTGTTTAATTTTTTTTTTTTTTTTGGCAAACAGGCAATAATTAGTGTTTGTGCGGAGGTATATGTCATCAGTTCCTTGATGGTCTTTCCTTTTCTCCTTCACCTGCCAACAGCCTTTCCCTACTCTAGCTTCTCCAAGACTCCCTCATTTTCCTCACAGGGTACGCCTGGCTGGGATGAAGATCTCTCGACCACCCACCTCAGTGGGGCACTATAAGATGGTGAAGCACCGAGGAGATAAAGGAAATGAGGAAAACCCCCACAGGTAGGAGGGGAATTGCTGTCGGACTCTCGGGTCTCCTAGCTCAACAGGAAACTCTTAAACGTCTCTAAATTCCAGGCTATTCCTTTTAGATCTTAGTCTTAAACTTCTAACCCTCAGATTTGACCTCCTGGTCCGTACCCAGAATTCTTGGACCCAAGATGGAATGAACTCACTGACATACCAATTGCTGGCAAGAGAGCTGGGCCCTCTCTATACCAACATTACTGCAGACATTGGGACTGACCCTCGGGGTCCCCGGGCTCCCTCTGGTCCTCGATACCCACCGGGTTCCTCCCAGGCCTTCCGTCAAGAGATGCTGCAACGCCGGCCGCCAGCTAGGCCTGGCCCTCTGCCTACTGCCAACCACACAGCTGCCCGTGGTCCTCACTGACTCTTCTCCGTCCACTTCAGTCATGACACTGAGTCAGAGGGGTTGCACTCCTCACACCCCTTCTCCTCACTGCTCTCAGGGGGACGTGAGGGAACTAAACTCTAGTGCTGTGCTGGGGGCAGGGACCTCTCCTCACGGCTAGGTTGGAGCTGGGCTCCCCTAGACCTGGAGGTTCCCCTTTCCAGGGGCCACCTATCAGGGCTTATGACTGTGAATCTTTGATGTCCTTTTATGTGACGAATCCTGGGAGTCCCCTGCCCCCAGGGTAGGAGCAGGGCTGGACCCCAAGTCCCTTCCTCGTCCACAGACGTCACTCTCATCCAGGAGTGACCTGGCTTCTCCTGGGACCTCTGTGAATATTTATTCTATTTATGGTTCCCAAGAAGCTGTCTGGTGGAGGAAACCCCTAACCTGGGCATTTCCTGCCAGTGCTGGAGTAGCTTCTCTGGTCTTGGCCCAGGGGGGCTGGGATTTTGATATCTTTTCTAATAAAGGACTTTGTCTCACCTTTGTTTGTCCTTTCTGCATTCCAGGCCACTTTACCTTTTCCACCATCCCCAACCTGGACAAGTCTATAGGTTGACAGAACAGCGAGACCAAACTAAGCTCTGGCAACCTTTATTCTCATGAGTGGGAGAGGAGGGATCAGCTGTTAGATTCTGTGCCCAGCACAGCAACTGCTGCCTGACGCCCACTCTCTATACAGTCATTGACAGCGACCCCCTCATAGGAGGCTCCAGCCAAAGTCAGGGGCAACCTTTGAGCAGTCAGGAATCGCATAGCTGACTCTGAAAGGTAAGGATGAAAGGAATGTTATTTAGCTGGGGTCCGACTTCCTCAGCCCACCTGCTTTCCCAGCTTACCTAGTTTTTGCCAGTGGCCTAGTGTATACTGAGGGATACAGTTCTAAGGAGAGATAAGAGGCAGGTGGATGTTTAGAACTAATTTCCAAGGCCTTGGTTTGATAAACATTCTGGTCCTGGAACGGATAAGAATTGATCTCAGCTCACCTTATGTAGGTGGACCAGGCATTGGCTCGGTCGTTCTTTCAGTCCTAAGTGTATAGCAGCTGCTTCCTGTGCTTGCTGTTGGAACAGCTCTGGAGACAACTCGTGGCCATTAGCTTGTAGCTTCTGTAACCAGTAACCTCCCAACATCACCTGTGGAGAAATGCAGCACTGACCATCATGCCCATGCCAAGGCACACGGGAGCCCTTTGGAAACCCCACCCTAAACAAAGTTTCCTCCTCTCACAGTTACTCGCAGGCCTTGGGGGTTCCCATCGTGCTCAGGATAAGCCATGGAGTCATACACAATTCCCAGGACAGTTGGGTCTTCTGACGATGGCACCAAATGTCCAAATCCCTGGAGAGGAGGGTGTCTGTGGGTCAGAAGGGAAGGGCTCTCAATGAGCCTGTCTCTCCCCTCTTCTTCCTCGTTCTCCTCTTCCTCATACCTGGACAGGCAGACAAGCTCCTTTGTACTGCAGGTTCACCACAGCGACAGACACAGCAGTGATGGTACTCAGGATGCGAGCTAGAGGTGCAGCCTCGGCAGGGAGCAGCCTGCTGAGCACTGGAGGAGAAGAGGTGGAAGCATTCATACTAAGCTAGCTCTGTCTTACTGGAGTCCCTCAGGAATGAGCAGTTCAGGAGCCCGGCATGGCTTCCTGGTGGTTAGGGAAAGGGAGGGACTGTCCCGTTACCTGAAGCTGGAACAGCACTAATGATGTGGTCAGCCTCCAGACTGCTGTCTCCCAGAGACACCTGAGTGATAAGAACACCTGAGTGTCACGAGGCCTTGAAGGGTAAGGTGAGATACGCTGCCTTCCTCTCAGTTCCCCAGGTACTCAAGAGACAGGAGACGCTGGGTGCTGACCCAGGATGAAGAATATGAATGACAATATCTGAACAACAACAATAACAAAAAGCCTCTGTATAATCCAGAAAGTGGGCCAGAAAGGCCAGTGTGGCTGCTCTGAAATGCTCATTGAAGGTGGGTTGTTCCTTCTGTGTACCCAGACACTAGCAAGCACTACTACTTCCATTCACAGGCTTGTACCTAAGGGCTTTTTGAGAAAGGTTCACAAATAAAAGCCTAGGAAGCTGAGGTAGCCAATATCTAAAAAGCTCTTCTACGGCAAGAAAACAGTCCAGTGCTACCAGCCCTGATCTGGTTAAACCACTTAGACAAAGAGTGACTGTGTGTGTGTGTGTGTGTGTGTGTGTGTGTGTGTGTGTGTGTACACACGAATGTGGGTGTCTGTGAAGTTTAATACCTCTACTGAACCTGAGCTACCTGATGGGAGAGCTAGGAACTGAACTCAGGTCTTCTGCAAAGGCAGTACATGCTCTTAACTGTGAGCTGTTTCTTCAGCTTCCTTCTCCCCAGATGAAAACATTTATGGATAAGAAGTTATCATTGACTTTAAAGGGTGGCAGGCACGTCCCAGGAACACGGCAGGGCTTTGATAGCTTTGTGACTCTCGTGATTGATGGGTGTGCAGCGCGGATAATAGGCAACAATGTTAGAATGGTTGTCATATGAGGAAACAGTATCACTATGTTTTAAAGTCTTGGGCCAAGTTTAAAGAAATGGATGTTCAGCAGAGAAGTCCACATCCTTCCCCAGAAGGCCTGTTTTACTGTGGCTTAAAATCGGGTCATGTATGAGACTTTTTGCTAAGTAAATTTTTGCAGCGCTCAGTATTACAACAAAACTAGTTAACACTGACACAGGTTCCCTGTGCTCCAGAGGGTTTTCCTACCTTCCACCGCCCTTCTGGCTGGAGGCTGAGCCCACAGACTGGTTGACCACTGAGGACAGTGACTCCTTTACTTGTTAGATGACTCTGAAGGGCCTGGGGCAACGTCTCCAGCCCTCCACGGAGTGACCACTGGCTCCATCGCTCAGCCCGAGCCTGACGAATTAGTGAGGAATCCGGCTGTGGACCCTGCCCTAAAAGGAGGCAGAAAATATCCAATCAAAACAGTACCCCTTGTATGAAGTATATCAACTTGTCGGGTTTTTTACTTTCACCATTTGAACCAATGCTCCACCTCACCTGCTCCCAGCAGTAGTCCCAGTAATATGGATCGATGGGTTTGCTCAGCTTGAAAGAGACTGGGAAAACAGGACCGGACGCTGAGCTCACGGCTGTTGCCAGCAAACACGCCTCGGCAAAGACTGTCCATGACTAAAGACGCCACCTTAAGGGGAAGACTAGGACTAAGGGGCCAAGGAAGAAGCCACCATGATTGGCCCTGCTTGGGGTAGGGGTTGGAGAGGGATGAAGGAAGGAGATAGTATGGTTTGAGGAGGTTCCCACTGGAACAAAAGGATGGGAAGGAAAGGAAGACATTTATTCCCCACACTGGAGAAATGAGCGATAGATAGAGGATATCCCTAAATGATACAAGAGCCCCCAGCGTTAAGTCTGAGTGAAGAGATTGAGAAGCAGGAGGGGAGAGATTTGAGAGCACCTCTGAGCAGGGTCACCTCAGGTCCAAGGCGGCGCTGGGCAAAACTGTGCACAGTCTCATCTGGCTCCTTGCCCCTGGGCTTCATCAGCTCCCTCAGCCCAGCCCAAAACAGAGGTTTGGAGAAGGGGGGTGAAGGGCGGAGTAGCCCCCTACATGGAGGAAGGCATGGTGAAAAGAAAGCTCCCAGATTCCCCTTCCCAGGTCCTGGGGGTTATTTTCATCCATTTGACCCCGAGGCTGGGATGGCTGTCAGGGAGCAAACGGAAGAGGCGGGTAGTAAGGAGACAGGATGTTACCTGAGGCCGGAGGGCAGGGGGTGCAGGGCGCCGCCTACATACAGGAACCTGTTCCGGGCAGCCGGATGATCTCCCCGGACGGGCAAGATTTCTGACTCCAAGCCAAGCTCAGAAACCTGCTCTCCACAAGCCCTCAGGAAGAGGAGACACTAAGGAAAAACTGACCCAACAAATGTCTTCCCTCTCTGCAACTCTATCCCTTTGGAGAACTCTCCTCCACTCCTCCACATTCCACAGGACGCTCACCAGGAGGAGAGTCCGGGCTCCCAGCGTTCCAGCCGGCCTAATTCCTCGAGGTCCAAGTTCAAAGATCGCACCATCAGATCCCCGGACTGAGCGGATCCAGCCTCCCAAATGCTTGCTGCCCTCCACTAAGATCACCTGGAGCCAAAAGTGAGATGCTGTGGGCGCAGGGCAAAGGGACTAGGGGTGGGAGTGCGGGAATCCGCATAATCCGTGGGACAAAGTTTATCTAGCTTTTGGTGGAAATGTTAAGAGTAAATGGTACCAGTAGGGACTCACCTTAGGGGCACAGGGGCCTCGGATCAGATGATAACTTGCGGCCAGGCCGCTGATACCACCGCCAAGCACGACCACAGTCCGCCCCATCGTAAGGCCTGGGGAAAGGTTGAGATAGCCCGGCAGTTTTACAAACTGCGGACACCTCCCTCCCTCCCCCCACAATGGTCCCGTATCCCACCTCTGGCCACTTACTGATGTATGAGCAACTAAGACAGGGCGCGCATGTATATGCTGGTAGGAGAGCGGGGTCTTCGTTCAGAGGCCAGGACTTACCCGCGAGATAAGGGGAACCAGAGAGAGTGAGCGATAGAGAGGCCCTAGGACCAGTCCATCCTGTGGGTGTGCAGATAAGGGTCACGCCCACGCTATCTCCCCAGCTCAAGAGGCCAGAGTCCTGCAGCACCCGGGTTTCCTAGCCTCTACAGGTGAACAGCTTCAGGTCCTCTATGCCCGCCCCTAACTTTTAGGGTCCCTCTGACTCTCCGTCTGTTCCATTCTGGCGGCCTGCGACTGCGCTTCTCTCTCCTGCTTCCGGATTGGTGGGTCTTGGAAAGCGGGTTCTGGATTGGTGGGCTCTGGATCCATCCACCAATGAAAACACCGAACTGGCAGTGACGCTGCCGGCGGAGCAACAGAGAAAGTCCGCTCCATGGAACAGGTTAACCCGTTCTTTGCCTAATCGGAGTTAGTTGCAGTAGCCGGCGTGGCCTTCCCCAGGGCCAAGACAGCAAAAAGCTGAATCCGGGAGTTAGCATTCCCCAGCTCAAGCTTCCCAGGTCTGCGGTGAGAAACCTGGAGGGAGGGAGGGCCCCACGAGCTTTAGTTAGAAAGAGACACTTGGAGGCCAGTCCGTGGGGAGGCGGCTCCATAAACAGCTCCTTGATGTTAGCAACAGACAGGGCCTGCGGGAGCGAAGGCCACCTGGCAACGCAACCAGTGTTTGTCAACAGGGGTTCTTGGGTGCCTGGCCCTCGAGGGGCAGTCCCCCTCTCAGGTAAAAACTGGCGTGCCAATGCCTGCACTCTGGTTTTCAGGCCTCATCGCAACTTCACAGGTCTCAAGGTTTGTCGTCCTGGTACTACAACTAGTGTTGAGGTGCAAGTCTGGGGCCTGCTCAATCTGGTCTCTTCCGTCTGCTCTGAGAGCGCTCCCGCCTGGAGACGGAATTTAGTCCCGGAAAGGCTCCAGTTGAACCAAAGTTTTAGATCTCCATTCCCTCTTAGCCGCAAATACAAACATGAACATCACTTTTTCTTAATAAATTTATTCACAAAAAGTGAGATTGCAGAGGTTCTGGGGGCTGTACATGGTCAAGGGTCTGGTGAGCTCTGTACATGGGACAGGAAAACAAGGTGGAAGGGTACGTAATAAAAAAAATAATGGGAGCTACAACCACCCCTCCCCCCCCTCCCCGATTAAAAAGACACAAAAATAGACGTCTCTGAGGTAAGTGGGGAGCCTGGGGGCTTAAGGGTGTTGAAAAGGTTTTCACAGGGCTTCAAGATGATGTCACAGGCACCGAGGTGGCTCCTGCATCAGTTGGTAGAACAGCACGTAGCCCTCACTGGACGCCACCTGATTTTCACTGACAGGGGAGACACTAGGGAGAGAAACGGAATGGTTGTGGTCATCCCTGTGTGTGCCCCCTCCTCCCTACAAGACTCCGCCTCAGAGTGCCTGGGTGGAGGTCAGGAGAGACTCTCCCTCCACTTCGTCAGGATCTTATCTTTGGGGCCTCACGGGAGGAATGGAGCCAGGACTGCAGTGGCATGGGGCACGAGTTGAGTAAGAGGCTGTTCTCACCGGGAGTCATTGTAGACATGCCAACCAGTCTGGCACCGGCACAGAGCTGTGTAGTGGCCGTAGTGGACACTGCCCGAGTGGTTGCAAAGGGCGTACAGCTGGTAGACAGGGCTTCCTGTGGGTTGGAGAAGATCAGTCTCTACAGCCAAGAGTTGTGTCCCCGTCCTGAAGGCTCCTTAGGACGTTCCCTGCCAGACTCACCCGCTTTGTCACTGGCAAAGTCCCCCAGGCTTAGCCGCTGCAGTGGGAAGTCCACGCCCACTGAGCTTTTCCTGATGGAGCCTCGGGAGGTGGAAAACCGGTTCAGATCTAAGCCCTGGTTAAGGAGCATTGGGAGGCGGAGGGTCTCTAAGGGAGATAGCAGTAATAAATCCAACACCCTCCAGTCCCCCAGCACGTCCTGAAAGATGGCAAGGAAAGTTGGGGTGGCAGGTTTTTCCCAGGGAAAACTCAATGAAGGTGAGGAAACAATGTATGGGAGATATCCTAAGAGAAATAAGAACTGAAAGATTAGGATATGGAGCACGAGGATTCGGGGGAATCGTTGTACTGTCAACTTTTTGGTACTTCGTGTTTTCTGCCGACATCGGTCACACACCTAAACAAACACCAAATAGTGTTAGGCCAGTGTGCTTTTACCTAAGCTGGGTTTTCTGACACCCCCAACTCACATATAAATTTAGTGTGCTTCTCATTGCTTTGCCCCTCCTCTTTAACCTAGGCATGTGAGGACCTATCTGAGACCCCACACATGCACAGACATGTAACTGTTCTTCCCATACTAAGGGAGCATGCACCTCCTTTTATCCAGACAGATCCCCCATGTGTCCCACTACCGTAAACTTCCACATACTGGGGCATTTTCCGATTCTAGCTCTTCTTCCTTGGTGAAAAGGCTGAAACAGTCCCGCAGTGACACTTTGCCCCCAGCAAATCCTTTCTGAGGGGAGGGGAAGGAGGAGAAATAAGGGTCAGCATATTCTGGATTTCCTTTTTAAAAAATTGTCTACTCCAGGTTTCAGTTCTGCTTTAGAGACCCCCCCCCAGTTCCCACCCACACTTAGGGGTGGGTCACCGAACCCTTGTTCCATCCACCCCTGGAATCCTCTGAAATCCCACCTTGGGGATGGGCAGGGACAGGTCACAAAAAACCTCGAAGGTGGTGGAGCGATACCCACAGGCCTGGCACTTGAGGCAACTTTTCAGCTGGCCCACAAACAGGTCTAGGCAGAAGCAAAAAGGCAGGAGAAAAAGTCACTGTTGGATGCCTAAAGTACTTTCTTGGAATCCTATCCCTTTCTAACAGCTCTGCACACCATTTTACGTCTAGCCTGGCTCTCGTTCTTTCATCGCCCAAGACCAAACTCCCACTGCTTTGCCCCGTTCCATACCTACAATCTTGCTGTCTTCTCGCTCCAAGTAGCGCCTCCACATTAAATTGGCTCGGTCATCATCACTGCCACAGATCAAAGGAAGGGGCACCGTGAGACGGCTGTGATACTGGGTGTCCCCAAACCACGGAAATCACTGAGAGGCCCCTGCTCCCTATCCACATCCTAGCTCCTGCCCTAAATTTCTAGCCAAAGGAGTAACACTTCTGGGGAAATCCAAAATGAGAAGAAAAGGACTACATGTAAGGGAAGAATGTCATCTTTCTCTGCAAGCCCCTCTGATATATCTTATTGGAGAAGTTTTCTCCTTCCCCAACTTAGTGACATCCCCGACACAATTTTCTGCCTCTATCTGCACCCTTCAGCTTCCCTCCTCCTCTTCCCTTTCCTCCTTCCTTGTACTTACAAACCATTTTTTTTTCTATGCTAAAGGATCTTCCCTATGCCCTACATTTCCAGTTTTGATTCTCTCAGTTCTGTGAAGGGTGAATGCTACTGATAAAACTACTGGGGAGAGGAGCAAAGGGGAACAACTCTTACCTTAATTCAGGTTCTTCATGCAGAGCCCCTCCTCGGCGAGGTGGAGAGGGAACTGGCCCACTGGCCAGGATTGGTGGTGCCCGGCGGCCTCGTCGGTTGATTTCAAGGTGCAACCGCTCCATGAGGAGCTTCAGGAACTCTTGGGCATCCTGCTGGCTACAGCCAGACAGAATATGGGCAGTTGATCCCCCTCATGGTCCACGGACAGTATCCCCTGCCCAAATGTGGGTCCAAACTTCCCCGGCGTAGAAAATCTCAAGGCTCAGAGCAATGCTGCTGAAGCCCCTGCTTGGTCCCAACCCCAGACTTGGCCAGAGAGAAACCCTATCTTCTCGGCCTCCCCACCTGTATCCAGAGAAGGAGGGAACGTATTTCTGGAAGACAGCCCGGAATCGAGTGGGATTCACAGCTTCACAGGAGTCGGGGTGCCAGAGGGCACCAATCACATCTGCAAAGGCTGTTGGCGGGACAGTGGGGAAGGGACGCAAAGTTAGGTCTAGAACAGGCAGGAGGAGATTCCGTGCATAGAAAGCCTCTAGGAAAGGAACTGGGGAAAAGGAATGTGACTGCCAGATTGAAGGGCTGGGAACCTTGGGTACTGGGAGGAGACAAGGGGTTGGGGGGAAAGAGAACAGAAGGGTCAGGGGTTGTGCCCCACCTTCTGTGAGCTCCTGGGCTCGGCCTCCTCCAGGCACCTCTTGCCGGAAGTCCCTGCGCAGACAAAAGTCTCGAAGAGGCCTCGTGCTGCTCAGACACTGTAGCACGGCATTCAGGAAGCACTGCGGAAGCAGTAGGGACACCGCCGTTATCTTTCCAGACTGGTGCCCAGCAGGCCTTGAGAGCTTCAGCGCTCTCCTTCCACACGCCTTCCCCAGATCTGCAGGCTGTCTCCACCCACAACACCATTTCACATTCCTTTGATGGAGGAAGGACAGGAAAATGGCTCTTACTGTATTTCCCAGATTTCGGAGGCCAACATGACCAGAGCCCAGAAGCAGTGTGTGATGAGCCTAGAAGGTCAGAGTACAATCATATTCCACCTGGCAGGTTAGGTGGCGTGCTGCAGAATGTTTCCCCATCCCCTTTCGGGTGCCAACTCTGCCCTCTTTCCCTCACTGGTCTTCCTACCTCACTGGTCATGAGCAGTAAACCCATTACAGCTGAGTGTATCACCGACTCAGCCATGGCTGTCACACCTATTCCCCATTTACTCCGCTGACCAGCCAGCCGGCGCTGCAGCTCCTGGGGCAACTCCCCAAGCACTGGCATGGTTGCCCAGCTGCTCCCCACCCCCACTTTGCTGCCCCCAAATCCTCCTCCTGCCCCCGTGGCCCCTTCTTGCACCCTCTCCTGCTGGCTCCAACTGCAAGCAGCCTAGCTCTGTTAGCTCAGGAAAGGGGAAATCACATCAGTACAGGTGCTCTTAACTCCGCCCCTCTTCAGCTCCAGGGATTAATTAGGTCTAGGCCTAGTCCTAGGAGACAAGTTGCCTTAAAAGAAAGGGCCTCAGGACCCAAAGAAGAATTCCAAATAGTTGGGTTAATTCCCTAGGGGCTAGAATGGCACACCAAGTTGGAGAATCACATACAACCCAAAGTAAGATCTAGAAGGCCTCAGAAAAGAGTCCCCTGGTGTAATGAGGGTTGACAAGGGGACTTCCGAGAAGCCATAACATGACAAGAAAGCTGACGGCAAGAGGAACGTGAGCATGGAAGACCACATGTGCTGGTAAGTCCTCACCATCTTGTCATCAGAGTAGAAGGGCTCAGAGGGCCGGGCAGATATCATGTGGAAGGAGCCATGGGAAGCAGGGGGCTCTGTCCGTATGCTGAGCAGGGTAGGGGGGCCAGGGAAGCCCCCAAGACGCCGGAGAGAAGTGCTACGTCTCAAAGTGGGCGGCTCAGGCCGGAGCGCCAAGCGGCTCAGTGCGGCCCCTAGCTCGCCAGTGCCTCGGTGCCCTCCCAAGGCAATCCCTATTGGACGCAGGTCCCCACTGCTCACAGACTTGGAACGGGCTAGGTTGGTCCGAGATGGGAGAGGCAGAGCCACAGTTGGGGGTGGTGAGCCAGGCAAGGGAACCCCATGATCTGCTCGAAGGGGGCCTCTAGGACAAGAGCCTGAGGTCCGACCCCGACCCAGCTCCAGTTTCTTGAGCCTTTCATCTGGGGGACCTGGCCTGGGAGGCAAAGGTCGTAACATGGAGTTTGGCCCAGGCACTGGGTTTCGGCGCTCCTTGCTGCGGGCCCGGGGAGGAAATGGTATCTTGGCTCCCACTCGGGGCTGTACATTGACAGGTGGCTCTCGAGTCCGGCCCAGGCGGTGCTCGGAAGCCTGGGGCATTGTGGACACCGCAGGCTGGACCTGAGGAGAACAGAGGGTCGGCATTTGAATTAGGAAGGAAGAGAAGATATAAGCTACCATGCAAGCTGGCTTCTAGATGCACCAAGGGCATGAATCACATCTATAAAATAGGTTCTTGCATCCCCATTACCTAGCAATGTTTAGCACAAAAAAACAAAAAAAAAAAAACAAAAAAAACCTTAGTATTCCATCATTTTGACCTTTTCATGCCCCACCCCCTCTCTATAGAATACAGATTTATTGAAGAGCCAGTGGTAGTCCCAGTCTCAGCTGTTTTTATAATCTACATATCTGGTTAGTCAAGTGGGATGTGCCCCAGACCTGATCTGTGGATACAGGAATCAGTCCAAAAGACAGCATTCCAACGCCCAACCCCTGCTCCTTTGGGTTGCAAAAGAAGCCGATTATAAATGGGTGATTTGCAATGCACTCCCTCTTCCAGTTCAGGGATCTCACTTGGTATCTGGGACCAGGGAGCAATGGTTTGGGATGGAGGACAAAGTGCTTGACCCCTAATCTCTGCACCTCTCCCACCACAGCAGGGTTTTACCCGGGTCCGCCCCCCTCGAGGGCAGAAAGGCCGAGGCCGCTGATTGGCTACGGGGTCCGGCGGCATATTCCCCGTGGTCCGAGAATGCTGTTCTTCCAGCCCAGTTGTCCCAGGCCCCGCTGGGCACCGCGAGCCTCTCCCTTTGTGGTGAGCGTCCTCTGGGGTCTGGATCCGTCCTCCCTCGGCTGTCTCACCCCACCCTGCCATAACGTCCCAGCCCATACCTGTCCCCCGGCGAGGGGGCGGGGGAGGCCAGCCGGGGTCCAGCTCCAGCTCAGGGCCACCCCCTCCTACCCCCGAACAGCCTCCCCGCGGGCCAGGCTCCAGCTTCAGCCGCAGCTGTTGCCCAGCTTGCTCCCGCCGCAAGGGCCGCCGCCATCTTTGTTGGTGCCGCCCGGCCACAGGCCACCGGCTTCACAGTCTCTTAGGCGCCTGCGCGCCCACACTCGGAATCCTCCCACCCACCCCCTCGGCGCTTGCGTGAGCCCGCCCCCACGGCTCCCCGGCCGACACCATGGAAACGCAGCCAACTTTAGAACCACTAGTTCCAAGCTCTGCCAGGTGGTGGTCTTCAAACCATTGCTCCAAGTCCCTGAGGGTAAGGCCCCTCACCCAGTCACATGGTCCACAGGGATGAAGAGCCGAAAAATCGCGTAATAACGGAAGGGCTTGCAACACAGATTCTTTCCAAACAAGGGATGCAGCGGGAATGCCGCATGCAGGTCCAGCTCTAGCCCGCAAACCAAAAGGGAAGCATTTAGGGATGGGGAGATCCCTAGTGGGCAGAGAACGCTGGACCTGTGAAACTCATTCTTAAAGCGCCTTTGCAGGCTCAGACAGCAAGGAAAGCAAGGCTCACTGCTAACAGGCAGAAGCAAATCCCAACAGGAGGGGAAAAAAAATCAGATTTTCATCCATTTGTTAGCTCTGGAAAGGGCACCCATTTCCTCCTTCCAAACTAGTTGTTCCTCAGCGCCCGTATTTGCGTGTTCACCTTGTTAACAGCCATCAACGAGAACTACAGGCTACCTTGAGAAGCAGCTTTTATTGCCAGGTTGTCTACACAAACCAAAAAGCTATGTGCTGTCAGCTGCACTCCTTGCCTCCAAGATGCCTCCAGGGCTTTATTGGAGAAGGGATATAAATTGCCTATTTCAAGGCCCAAGTCTTTCACCTCCAGTACAGCTTAACTTAGAAACTTTGTGACCTTATCCTTTTGTCGGGTTTTGTTATTTTTCCTTCCAGCTATGGCTACTTTGTCACAACCAGAGGTGACCCGGTGAAGGAACCATTCATAAGAAAACGGGAAAGCAGCCTATCAAAAGTCCCTCTGTCCTGCCTCGGTGGCTGCATCCTTCACTGGCTGCATTTTTCTTTGTGCTGGATCACACCCTTCTGAATCAGATCAGGTACTTCCACTGCCAGCCAAGGACCCAGCTGCAATACAAAGGAGACCCTATTAGGTTATCCTACCACGATCAATGCCCCTTGTTCCACCTGAACCTCCTTCCCAGAGACTGTAAGTTCTAAAGTCCAGAACATATATGCCAAAGAGACAAGTTATTCCCTGTTTAGTTTCAGCTATGTCTATGATACTGCTTAGGGTCCTGAACCCTCTTTCTTCCCCTCATACACCAAGAGTAACAAACTTACCCCCAGGGCCATGAGATGAGCTAGTCCAAACTTGGGTACATTCCTTGCCCACAAAGGTTTGAAATGATCAGTCAGACATATTTTGCCACCCCTGTGAGAAAGACAAGAGGAAGGGGTTGACATACAAAACTGGCTTAATGTATAGCAGGCTTTTGGGAACACAGGAAGATTATGAGTGCTCAGAACAAGGTCTGCTAAGTACTCTGCATAGGCTTGGCACAGAAGACCTGGTCTTCCTGCAGACTCTGAAGCAGCGGCTCTGGGAAAGCCTGTCTCTTGAGCTCTTCCCTAAGGCTTCCTTTGCTCTTCCTCATCGCCTAGTCAGTCCTACCTGTACATCTTTGCTGTCTTCCCGTCCAGCTCAGGGACCGCAATTTCTGGAGCAGTAGTGGGATATGTGATAGGAATCTGGAGAAATTATAAAGCCTTAATAAAACAGAATCAAGAGAAAAATAAGTCTAATCAAACCCGTATCTCTCTTGGTTGAACTGCTTGTCCAGCAGATCCCCAAGTGGCATGTATGTGCAAGGATTCTAGACACAGAGATTAGTAACTGTTACATATCTGCTTCAAACCTCCCCTTTCCCCTCCCGTTTTAAAAGCTTTATTTGGTCCCTTCAAGAAAGGTTAGCTTCTTAAAAATCAGCTCATCAATTCCTTTCTTCTAAGCTTCATACTTCCCATTCTATCACACTCACTTCAAACTCGATGTCAAACTCATATTTGAGGAGGTCATGGATGTACCAGCATTTTCCAAACCACCTGTAACAAAGACCAAACCTCAGACCATTCCTATCACACTCAAATGACATCTCTGCTTAAGTCACCAAGTTGGAAGACTCAGGTCAGGGATTAGGGAACTCTAAACTAATGCATCTTTGGCAGCTTTCGAAGTTGGTTATGGGATACCAAATTGTTTCAGGTGAGGCTCCTATCCACACCTCCCAAAGGCTGGCTTACCGGGTCCCTTCTTTGTTGGACTCCAGTCGGAACCAATCATTGTCTGAATTCTTGTTGTTCTCCACATACTGAAAGCAGAAAATAAGATCTCAGAAAAGGGAGCTGGCGCTGGTGGTAGTGGTGAACACCTTTAATCCAGGCACTCAGAAGGCAGGTGGTCTCTGTGAGCTCGAGGCCAGCCTGGTCCACAAAGCCAGGACAGCCAGAGCTACACAGAGAAACTCTGTTATGAAAAACAAAAAGCAAATAAACACAAACCAAAGAGAGCTGAAGCCAAGGGCAGCCCCTTTTGTCAAAAGAAAAGGAAGATTATTTTCTTCTCTAGTATATCGTTCACAACTTTTCAGACATAAGCAAAATGAAAGAAAAGGCTAAACAGGTAAGTTTGGGGCTTTCGCAGAGAAGAGAATAGAATGCCTAGGTTCCCTATAATAGAGCAAACACAAAATATTTGGGGACTCATAGGGCTCTGATAGCATCTGTCCTTAACCCCAAACTTACTTTACTAAATATATTATTTCTGGAGGACCCTGTGCTGACTTCCATTAGCAGCTATGAGCTAGTGACTCTCAAATCTTTTCTTTTTGTAATTTAAAAAAATTATTTATTTACTTTGTGTCTATGAGTGTTCTATCTGCATGTGTGCCTGAATGCCAGAAAAGGACATCAGATGGTTGTGAGCCACCATGTGGTTGATGGGAATTGAACTCAGGACCTCTGGAAAAGGAACCAGTCTTCCTAACTGCCAAGCCATCTCTCCGGCCTGACTCTCAATTCTTTACCTTTAGTTCAAACCTTTTGTCAGAATTTCAGATTCTAGTATCCAACTACATGTTTGAATGTATATACCTTTATCTAAGTAAGAGAAAACAGAAACTTAGTACTTATATCTGGATTTTATACTGTATTTCTCTCCTCTCCCTCTTCAGGATCTCCTGTCTAGACTAGCCTCAACCTACTGCTATACCTAAGAATGAACTTGAATGTTTGATCCTCCAGCCTCCACCTCCTGAGTTGCTGGAATAAAAGTGTGAACCATTGTAGCTTGTCTTTGTTATTTTATGGGTTCTTCTTTTTCCCACAAGGATAGAAGGGAGAGAGGAATTAGGAAAATCTAATTTCTTTACTTTTTATGAGCCTTTTTTTTTTTTTTTTAAGATTTATTATCTATACAATACTCTGTCTACATATATGTGTACACACCAGAAGAGGGCACTAGATGGTTCTGAGCTATTATGTGGGTGCTGGGAATTGAACTCAGGACCTTTAGAATAGCAGACAGTGCTCTTAACTGATGAGCCAGCTTGCCAGCCCCTAATTTCTTTACTTTTATTTCTTCTTTGACCACAGCTACTAGCAAAGTACAATCAACCTCCTTAAATGACCAACAACCACCCCTACCCTCACATTTCTGAACACTCTGAAAAGTTCCCAGCATTCCAAACATCACACAAATTATCTGCAGCTCGAAAAACCATGCTTCTGCTAGAGCATGAGGCAAATCATAAAAGCAGCCCCACATCCCTACACCTGGGATTAAAACAAAAGTACATTCTTATATTTGTGTGTGTGTTGAAACCAAATTTTTAGAATTCTCACTATAAACCACTACCAACATTCTCAATTTCAGGTGGCTATATCTCACTCAGCCACCTAAGCCAGGAGGCCAGCCTTCATCCTTGACCATTTATTTTCCCCACTAATCTTTCATGATGTCCTGTTGACTTTAGTTTCTGCTGTTCATCTCTTATAGGGTCTCTCTGTACCCAGGGGTGGAACTAAACTCACCAAAACCCTCCTGCCTTTGCCTCCCATGTACTAGATTTATAGTAACAAGCACCACAACACCCAGTCTTGGCCCCAATTACTTTTTTAAATTTTTTTTTTGGATAGGGTCTCAATTGCTTAGGCTGGCCTTGAACTCACTCTGTAACCCAGGAAGGCTTTGAAACTGTCCAAGCTGGCCTCACACCTGCACTCGTCCTGCCTCAGCATCCCAAGTGCTAAAATTACAGGCTCCCAGCTTGTACCATGCTGTTCCTAGCTTGTTTCTTTGCTCATGCTGTCCAGAAGAGGGCATCAGATCCCCTAAAATCAGCGTTATGGATGGCTCTGAGCCATCATGTTCAGTGCTGGGAACCAAACCAAGTCCCCTGCAAGGGCAGTAAGTGAGCCGTTTCTCCAGCCCTGTCCTGATGTCTTGAGTGTCTTTTTCCTATACTTATGTTTTATGTGCTACTACGGTGTGTGTCTGTGTGTGTAGCCATGCCAGGTGTGCATGTGGCAATGAGAGGACAGCCTGAAGGAGTCAGTTCTCTCCTTCTGCTCTGTGGGTTCCAGAGATCAAACTGTCAGGCTTAGTAGAAGGTGCTTTACAAACTGAGCCATATCTCTCTGGCCCTTGTGCTTATACTTTAAGTTTTAATTCAAGTTTTGCCCCTTCTAAGAAGCCCTACCCTAGCAAACTAAAGTTGAATTATTCATCTCTCCCCATGCTCTCAAAATATCCTGGTTTTGTCTCTGTCTCTCCAATTAAACATGGTCTAATACTGTTTGTCAACCTCAGTAGAGCCCTTCCTGAGGACACCTGAGGACACTCCTTTGCTATTCGGTCAACCACAGGAGTCAACTGATCCGGATAGAGGACTGATATTCCTCCATTACGCTGCACCCACAATTCCCGTTTGTACACCTCCTCCCCCCTTTAGGTACCAGGAACACAGTATGTCTTACTGTTGTGTTTGAGGCAGGGACTCATACAGTTCAGTCTGGCCTTGAACTCATTATGTAGTCCAGAATGACCTGAACTTCCAATCCTCCTGCCGGGAGTCCATAAGCCACTTCCGTTTTTGAGGTGCTAGGGATAGGGCTTCTTGCATGCTAAGCAAGCACTCTGCCAATTTCTCAGTGATGCAATATATAAGGCAGGAGAACTTCTGGGTTTTGAAGCAGATAGAACCCACGGAGGGCAATCTTTTTCTTCCCATAACAGATGAGTTGAAAAGATGGCTAATTTATAACTAACGCACCAATCTCTAACACCGTTTTCAGTCCTGACATTCATTCCATTCATTTCATCACAAAGAATGAAAGAAGAGCAGTGATGGGCTGAGACTTTGGACTCAAGTATTTTTGACTCCCAACTCATACATTTAGCAAAACACCTGGTGCGGGAAAGACACGTCACCTTCCAGGAATACTGTTTTTTTCCTTCAAGGTCTGACCCTGTGTTCCTAACCGGAATCTCTTCTGCATCCTCCCTCCGTCCACCCGTAACACCCCACCCGCTGTCCCTTGCCCCTGAAACACGGGCATTTATAACAATTTAGACTTTAAAACTAAAAACCGGAAGCAGCTTCCACACGGAGCCAATTCCTGAGGACACCTGATTACCCGCAACTCCTTCGCAACGCCGTCAACCACGGGAGTAACACTGACCCGGATAAGGGACTGATATTCCTCCTTTAGTCGCTGCACCCACAATTCCCGATCTCGGGGTCCAGCGTTAGTCTTCAGCACCGGGATCTCAGACACGACCCGCCGGGTGGCCTCGTCCGCCATCTTGGAGCAGGGAAAAAAAAAAAAAGCACCAAACAAACGCGGAAGTGGAGTTGCTTGTAACTTACTCAGGGCGTCGCCAGCTTTACTGTGGGAAGATGGGGCATCGCACTGCCTAGAAGCGGCCTCTGAATGCACTCTTTATTTTTTTTCTCGTAAGAAAATAAAATTGACCGACTGGTGTAAGCGTCCGGAAGAACAGAATGGAGATGGGTCGCGCTGTCCAGAACCTATCCTTAAATCACCGGAGACTGCTCAGACACTGACTTCCGTTCATGCTCAGAAGCACTCTTGGGAAAACCCAAGACCTCTCCATCCCCGGAAAGTTGTTAGAATTTCAGGTTTTTGTGAACACTCTGAAAAGTACTGTCTCCTGAGGTGCGCAGTTTACGTGTCTGTGCCCCAGAGTGGCTTCCTTCGTTTTTATCCCTGCCGTGAAGAATTACAACTACCGAATCAGGAGTACAGGAGCTTGATTGCTTTTAAAGGGGACAGGATCCCATGTATCCCAGGCTGGACTTAAACACATACAGGATGGCTTGGAGCTCTGGATTATGCCAGAATTAATGTGTTTAGGTTTTAAAACCGACCGAAAGATAAAATATTTTACAAAGCGTTACTGAACATCTTTTGTGTAATATACACTAAGTATATAGACAGGATTCCTTCCTAGATGAATTCCCCCAAATGGCTAGCAGACAGTCACTGAATGCCTATTCTAAGCCCAAGAAAAGTCTTCTGTTAACTTTTTGTTGTTTTTGAGACAGGATCTCACTGTGCAGACCAGGCTGTCCTCCAACTCACAGAGATCCGCCTGCCTGCTTCTGTCTCCCAAATGCTGGTCGGGTAATTTCTAAATTCATTTGACACTAAGAAATATCAGCAGTGCCAAGTGTAGTGGCAAAAGCTTTTAATACTTGCACTTGGGAGGCAGAGAGGCAGGCAGATAGATCTCTATGAGTTCGAGGCCAACCTGGTCTACAACAGGAGTCCAGGACAGCCAAGGCTGTTACACAGAGAAACACTGTCTCAACAAACAAACAAAGAAAAATAAAAGAAACAGATGTGGTGGCCCACATCTGTTCTCCCAGAACTTGGGGCATGGGGGGGGGGGGGGGCTAAGTCTGGAAGATTCTGCCACTGAATCTACAACGAACTAACAAACTCCGGATGAGATAGTGCAGCACCTTTGATCCCAGCATTTGGGATGCAGAGGCCAGGCTGATCTTGGTGAGTTTGAGTCTACACAGACAGATCCTGTCTCAAAGAAAACAAGGTCCCTGGAGGTGGTGTCACACACTTTTAAACCAGCACTCGGGCAGTCGAGGCTGGTGGATCTCTAAGTTTGAAGCCAGGTTGTTCCACAGAACCAGTTCTAGGACAGCCGGGGATACACCAAGAAACCCTGTCAAAGAAAAAAAAAAAAAAAAAAAAGAAAGAAAGAAAGAAAGAAAGAAAGGGGGCTGGAGAGATGGCTCAGAGGTTAAGAGCATTGGCTGCTCTTCCAGAGGTTATGAGTTCAATTTCCAGCAACCACGTGGTGGCTCACAACCATCTAAAATGAAATCTGGTGCCCTCTTCTGGTGTGCAGGTGTACATGAAAATACACATTGTATACATAATAAATAAAAGAAAAAGAAAGAAAGAAAGAAAGAAAGAAAGAAAGAAAGAAAGAAAGAGAAAGAAAGAAAGAAAAGAAAAAAGGAACAAGTAGAAAACAAGTAGAGCGAATGGCTCAAGTGGGTAAAGGTGCTTGTAGCACAGCCTGGCCACTACAGGAAGACGGAAGGAGAGAACTGACTCTGCAAAGTTGTCCTCTGTGGGCATGCCTGAGCTATGTAAGGCATGTGTGCCCCTTTTATATGAGTGCTTTGCCTGCATGTGTAAGGTATCCTGTGCATGTAGGACCTGCAGAGGCCAGTAAAGGGCAACAGGTCCCCCAGAACCAGAGTTACTGACATTACTTCCTTGTGGGTGCTGAAAACTGAAGACCAGACCTCTACAAGAGTAGCAAGTGCTCTTACCTGCTAAGCCATCTCTCCAGTCCACTAAGTTATTTTAAAAAACAAACAAACAAACAAACAAACAAACAAACAAACAAACAAGGGAGCTGGAGAGATGGCTCAGAGGTTAAGAACACTGGCTGTTCTTCCAGAGATCCTGAGTTCAATTCCCAACAACCACGTGGTGGATCAAACAATTTATAATGAGATCTGGTGCCCTCTTCTGGCCTGTAGGCACACATGCAGGCAGGACACTGTCTAAATAATAAATAAATCTTAAAACACAGACACATACATATTGTTGGGTTTGTTTGTTTTGCTTTTGTATTTTTTTTTTTTTTGAGACGGGGTTTCTCTGTGTTGCTTTGGCTGTCCTGGACTCATTTTGTAGACCAGGCTGGCCTCAAACCCACAGAGATCTGCCTGCTCTACTTCCCAGAGTGCTGGGCTCACAGGCATGTGCCACTGCACCCAGTTACAAGTATACTTTTAGGAGCTGAGGATGCAGTGCGATGTTAGAATGCTTGCATGGCACGCATACAGCCTGGCTTGAACGCCCAGTGACACATAAACCAGACGTGATGGTGTCTGTCATCCCAGCCCAGGCTACAAATAATGTTGGCTTTTTCTTTCCCAGATGATTTGTTTGGGAGAGTGTTTGTTTTGTTTTTTGAGACAAGGTCTGTATAGTCATGGCTGTCCTATCATTCTCTATGTAGACCAGCATGGCCTTGAACTCACAGAATCCACAGGCCCCTGCCTCTGAGTGCTGGGATTAAAGGTGTTCAATACCACGCCTGGCCAATAGAGTGTTCTTGTTCTCTCCGGTGTTGTTTGATATTATGTTCTTGTTCTCTCCCTCTTATTGTCACTGCTGCTTTGTGTTTTGTTTGTTTGTTTGTTAAAGACTATGCGTACAGAAGTCCATCTCTACGTATGCCAGCCCACTAGAAGAGGGCGCCAGATCTCATTACAGATGGTTATGAGCCAGGTGGTTAGTTTGTGAGCCAGCATGTGGTTTCTGGGAACTGAACTCAGGCCCTCTGGAAGAGCAGCCAGCACTCTTAACCTCTGAGCCATCTCACTGGTCCCCTGTTGCTTTGTTTTTTGAGATGATCTCTTATACTTGATCTCTTATACTTGAATCCCCATGTCTCCACCTCCCAAGCAGGGGGATTACACTATCAAGTAGAGAGATTTTTTTTTTATCTTACTAGCATGCTATATATCTCTTGATAAAGATATTAGATAGATACAGCTTTGTAATGTTTCACTAGAGATATCCTAAGGCAATAAATAAATATTCCTATTTATTTATTTATTTTGGTGTGGGCACAGTGATATGGCCAGAGAACAGATATCTATAAAGGAATGATACCTTTTTCTGACATTTCTGGTTGGATCCCTACATGTACTGCTATCATTTTTTATTTCATTCAAAAAGTGTATTTCTTGCCAGGCAGTGGTGGTGTATGCCTGCAATCCCAGCACCAGGGAGGCAGAGGCAGGTGGATCTCTCTGAGTTCAAGATTAGCATGGTCTACAAAGTGAGCTCAGGACAGCCAGGGCTACACAGAGTGTTAAAGCTGATCTGCATAAGATTAAACCCCAGTGTCTACCCTATCGGAGGTTGGTAGCCAAAATTGGGTAATGTCTCTCTGAAGAATATTCAACCTAAGACAGGGCATGAATGACGAAATTCATGTATCAATGACATCTAAGAATATATCTTTCAAGAGACAACCTAAAACAGGCACAATCTTCTGCTCCATAGCTCTTAAATTATGGTCAGTTTTTAAAATATAAAAAAGGGAGACCTGTGGAGAGCTGCTGGTTTGTCAGGCTGCTTTGGTATTGAGCGCTCAGCAGAAAGACATGTTTTCACCCTTGCCTTCACCTGGAGTCAGTGATAAGCAGTATGTTTTGCCAAGTCTACCTCCTGTTGTTTGAGAGAGCAGGTGGGATGTCGTGTCAAGTTCACACCTTTTGTTTGTGTGAGGATCACACAGACAGGGGGTTGAGGTAACAAGTTTGGCTTCTCCATGATTGTACTGAAATGCTCTGCTCTGACTATGAAAAGGGATTATTGGAATAAACCAGGGTGACTAGTTTCTGCTGGAAGCCCTCTCAGACAGATCCCATGTGTAGTCTGTTGGTTTATTAATTTTCTTTCATTCCTCACTCCTGACTCAAGAACTGTTCAACTCTGCTGGTGGGCTCCATCAAAAAATGGAAAGTTTCTGCCTATTTTAAGGCATACTGCTTGGGTCTTGTGGTCTTTGCTCTATGTCCTGAGGTAAACTCAGACAGCTGGCCTCGAGTTACCCCACTGTAAAGGTGAAATGGCTCAGGCCCTACTGTCTTGGCTTGAGGCCCCTACCATGATGGTGACATAGTTGAATCTTCAAAGGATGCAGCAGAGGAGCAGCTGACAATAATTTACCTCTCACTCTATCAGAGGCTTTTTTTTTTTTTTTTTTTTTTTTTTGCCAACTGCAGATAGTTTCTGTGATTGTGTGGTATTTGGAATTCTGAGAACTTTTCAGAGGACATATAAATGCCAGAACCTCAATGGGCAGAGTTGGTAGTTGTTGGTCATTGGTGCAGGGAGTAGGAGTTGATTGGGGTTTGTTAGTAATCCTGCTCGAAGAAGAAACAAGAAATTAGATTCAAGGATCTCTTTCTCTTTCCTCTTTTCTTCTCTTCTATCTAGTAATAGGGAGTGAAAACAGAGGAATAAAGGGTAAAAACAAAACAAAACAAAACACAAAGCAACAAATGCCAGCCACAAATGTACCCAATGTAGGCCTCAAAAGTTAAGGACAAAAATGGAAATTTTGTTCTCCAATGCCATAGGGGAAAAGGCAGGAGATGGAAGAATGGATTTTTTTTCCCCCAAGACAACAGCAAAACATTTATTGCAGCTGCTCCCACTGGGGTAGCTTTGCTTTGCTCCTAGAGGGAATTTTCTTCTTGGCATATTTTGTTTTTAAAAAGTTTGAAAGACTGGCTGAGCAGTTGGAAAACTTGTGAATGGAAATGGAGGAGCCTGAGA